GTTTGTCTAAATGTCTTGAGTGTCAACTTTTTATTTAATTTTTTTTTTTTCAACATTTGAACAGCAATTGATTTTCATACCAGATCACTGTCAAATTGCTGTTCTGTGTGTTTTTTCGTTATTGTTTTCATTTTGGTATTTTGAATTTTTTACCTGCCCGAGGTAGGAAGTGCAAGTTTTTACTTCCTGGATGTATTTAGCTGACCTCTATTATTCCTAGTTGTCTTTTTTGCAACTTTTTAAATTTCCATGACACTCCTTTGATTGGGTGTTTCTGCCTCCAACATTATTCAATTGTGTGTGTGTGTGTGTGTGTGCGTGTGTGTGTGTGTGTGTGTGTGTATTTGATTTGATGTACCACTTCCTGTCTGCTGAGATATCAGCCCGGACTTTTTCAGTAAATTCTATAAACCGAAGCGAAATGCATTACATTTATAAATAGAAGAGAAAAAAAAAAAACGGAACTCATTGAAAAATTAAAGAACAGTAAGCGTGAGTGTGGTGGTGAATTAAAGAGAAGCTAAGAATAGAGAAGAACGTGAAGCTCTTGGGATAGTGAAATCTTGTCTGATTTTAATAGAGGTTTTCAATTCGGTCTGGTTAGAATAGTAGAATTTTCTTTTTTGTTTTTGGACTAAGATGCATGGCACGAGCCACAAAAGTCCTTCTGTTCATAAAAAAGTTAATCAATACCGACCCTGGCCGAGGTGCGCTGGTGGTTGATGTATGCTGCCGACGCCATGACGAAACCTGAACGACATTTTGAGACGTATTCCCCATGAAACCTCAAAATATTCTGATGCTGAAATGTGACTTATGTATTTTTTTTTACGATATGAAAGACCTCCCCTGGTGTATTTTTATATTTGATTTTTATTTATTTTTTTTACCATGTCTCCTTGAACCCTTTGAGGGACAGTGGTTACTACAGTGGACAGCTTATCATGTTATCAGGTTACCGGGTGCATGAAAGGGGGGCAGTGTCATCCGCATCCACAAGAACCCAAACTCAGTCTGAGCATGCTCACTCATTAATTTGGTCTCATGTTTAAATCTTGGTGAAAGTATGCACTCCGACCCGGCCAAGTTTCGGTGCGTTGCGTAACGATCCCGTTTGTTCCGTGGCAGACCCTTGTCATGTGAGGCACGCAGTGTGGATACAGGAAATCAGGAAAGAGGTAAGAAAGTCTTCCGTAGCATAGACTCCATCCCGAAAAAGTGTAACCGGTCTTACGACGTGACTGAGGATGATCCCACGTGGAACTTCTCCAGCTGCCGATGCCAGATGAGCGTGTAAGCGAGTTCCAGCGATGATGCACCAGCACTGATCCGTCACTCACCGCCAGGCTCCGTGGCATTAATAAGCAGCTTTGGAGCCGCAGATTAATTAGCATGTGGCTAAAGCCACGCTGAGCCGCCGTATCGGGTTTCGGCCAAGCAAAAAGAAAGGAGGCTGTAAGATGATTAGCCCAACAACAATGGCGGTGGTATCACATGATTAGCGCAAGCTCGTCAAAAAGGGGACTGTGCGTCTCTGTGGAATTCTCACCGCGGGTATTTTCAGACATCGACAGGTAGAGGCGTACAAATAAAAAAATGAAGTTGCTAGTGATGATAAATGGAGAGCCCGCAAACATTGGAAGGTTTTTGACTTGTTTGAATTTTGTAATTATATCAATATGGATCACCAAACCTTGCGTGTAATTCTGTGCTGAAACGGACTGACCAAAAAATTCTGTCATCTCTCATCTGTCTTACAATATGTCAAATTTTGAACAACACCAGGACACAGTTAAAATCACTCTAAAAGAGTGGCTTGAAACAAAGATGACAGACCTCCTGTCATTTTTACACAGGGCCTCTTGAGACTTTTTTTTGTTGTTTTTCAGCTCTACTCATGATAGACGTGCCGACCAAATTTCATGTTTGGCTGAAGGATCCTTTGAAACGACCCCTAAAATGGCTGCTTCAAACCAAAATGGAAGACTTCCTGTATCTATTCCTGCATGGCCTCTTCAGACTTTTTTTGTGGGTCCTGTTCCTGATAGACGGGATTAACCAAATTTTAAAACTGGCTCCAGGGGCTGATTTTTCAAAAGGTTCCGTTCCGTGATGACGCTACCAACCTGATTTTCAGAGGTCTTTGCACCTCGTGCTCTGGTTGTTAAACGCTAGACTCGCGGTTGTGAAGTCATTGCCCATGACATTTGCGCTGTCGGTTTAAAAGGAATGTTAAAGAGGCAGTGGAAAACTTGGAGACTGGCCATGATTCCTACAGAGTCCTGCCACAGCAGCAGCAGGGGACGGACCCCTCTGGACCGACGTCATAGCAGCCAGTCCCCCTCAGGGGCATTAAATTTGGTAGGCATGGCTGTAATGAGTAGACCCACAAAAAAAAAGTCTCAGAAGTCATGCCTGAAAACAACCAGGAAGTTTGCCAATTTGGTTTGAGGCAGCCCATCAGTGTCATTTCCAAAGATCCTTCAAGTACAGTATATGAACTTTTTGTACAGTCCAGCCTTGGTAGAGGAATCTTTTGAAAATTCAGCCCCAACAGTACCCTGGCAGAATTTGTACCGTATTTTCCACATTAAAAGGCGCACTGGATTATGAGGCGCACCTTCAATGAATGGCCTATTTTGTCATTTTTTTCATACATTGGGCGCACCGCATTATAAGACGCAATCTACAATGCATCCACTAGATGGAGCTACGCTCAAGGAAGCACCAACAGAACCCTCAGATGTCAGTAAAACTTATTTAATAAAGCAGCGACACAGTTCACTTAACCAACAGCAAGTTCTAACATTGACTCGTTATCGTTGAACTCTCTTGCCGCTGCTCTATTTCCGTGTTCAACTGCGTAACCGATCGCCTTAAGTTTGAACTCTGCGTTGTCAGCATGTCTCGAGCAAGGAGCCATTTTGGGGGTCGAAATATTACTGTAATGACCGTACACAAAGCGCATCGGATTTTAAGACGCGCTGTGAGCTTTTAAGAAAATGGAAGTCTTTTTGGTGCGCCTTTTAGTGCCGAAAATGCGGTAAGATGAGTTCTTCCATTCTTTCAAATAATATGAGTGAGGAGGCAAAACGCAATGAAGCAAATTGGATTTAGCAACATGAACTATGTTTGGCGTGTCTATCATGAGTTGACCCACAAAAAAAAAAAAAAACTCCCCGGAAGCTGCCACAAAAGACACAGGAAGTCTCAAAGATGTACTGGAAATATCCGATTTCTACCAAATTTAAGCGTGAATCCGAGACGGCGTGGGCAAGGCTAAATTGTCGGGAAAAAAATAGTTTGGTCATTGTGTGGGTGCGCGCGCGCGTGGGTGCGCACGAGATCATGAAATTTGATAACTTGGCCGTGAACCACACTTTAGGAATAAGTAATAATAGAGTGTTGCCATGAAAGCTTTGAGTAGAATTGCGAGCGGGCGACCGTGACGAGAGCTCTGAATTCCCGGAACGTCGGTCCCCGTGAGGTCACGTGTTCCCCACCATATGACTAAGCTGCTGTCAGCAGCGAGGCCTATACATGCTCAGGACAACGCAACGTAACATAACACATGCTTCGGGCGGCGTGACGTTGGCAGCCAGCATCTCGCTATTTAAGGCACGTCCTGTTGCTGGGCTTCTCCGGCGTTTGCCCTCAGCGCGCTGCCCTCTCGCTTCCTTCATCCTCAAAAATCTGTTTTTTTTTTTTTTCTTTCTCTCTCAGCCCCCGCATCAGCCGTCGTTTGTAATTGTGTCATTGCGCATTTACGCTGTCTATTAAACCAGAGAGTATGGCTCTGATGGAGACGGTTGCCGTGGAAACCCTTCACGCATGCACCGGTTAAACTGACGACCCGCGTGTTACACCATCAGTCCCTTAATGCTAAGACTTAGAATCGACTGTAGTCATACTTTACTTCAGCAGCTCTGGAATAACGTTTGTTAGCAATGTATGTCGACATGCTGCAAAGATCCAAGGTCCGGAATGCTCATTGACTTCTCATTTGTACTAATTTCACCGCTCACACCGCGTTTTGTTTCACCTTGATTGTCATACGACCTCAAAAAGCCCGTGAAGCGTTCTTAATTTGCCGAAGGATAAATCAAGTGATTTGTTCTTAACCTTGCTGGCGGTGTGAAAACTAACTACATGAAAATAACAACACGTTGTACTGTGCATTTAGCAAAAGAGCAGTTGTAGCAAGTGGAGTGTGACGCCGCAAATTATAAACGCGGAACAAACACACCTACGCAGTGCGTTTGTGTGTGTGTCTCTTGGCTGCGATATTAGCCTGGTTTAAAAGACGTGGATAGCAAAAGATCACAACGGTGCAACATGTCGTACGTGACACTGTAGTCGTGGCACATTGATATCGACGACATCACTTGCTGTGTTTTTGGCGGTTCTCCTAACACACAGTCGGGTTTTGGAATCATTATGGAGGAGAAAGGATTAAAAAAAACCACACACAGACCTCATCCTTTGAGCTCTTGCGAGATACACTCCTGTCGCACGTGACAGCCCTTCAAACTGCGGTGAGCACAACTACAGAGGATTTGGTCAAATTTGGAATCGTCAGCTTTGTGGGGGGATGTCGGAATTTAGAGGTTCCGCTTGGTTTATTTCTTATAATCCAGCAGCTAGTCTTTATATCAGGATTGAACTTGCTATGCCTATTTAATTCTGATGAATAATTTGTAACAATATTGATCTGATCATATCTGCAGTGTGCTCTTACACTGCACTCCGCATCGGTAATAAATTCGTAAACTTCCCCGTCGCTTCTTGTCATGTATCACATCTTTGCGGAGTTGAGTCAAGCGTGTCTACTTGATGTCTGTTGTGTCATCTGACTAGTTGTTGTCATCATATCGTGTGTCTACAATCGACTTGTTGCTACGTGCGTGTGTTAGCGATTCTAGGATTCGAATAACCCAACTTGAGTAATGTCATGACAAAACAATCTCAGACCAAATCTCTGCCCACCTTTCCACAAAAACAAACTTTTACTTTGTGATCACGTGACTTTCAGTGATTGTGGGCATTACATTTTCCACCATCATGAGTTTTATTCCGTAATGAGAAATGGCATGAAATAGTTAGTATCCATTATGCTAGCTGTTGCCAGCTAAGCGCACACACACACACACACACACACACACACACACGCACACACGCAATGACCCACACTCAGTATGCCGCTCTTATTGGTGGGCTGCCTAGCAACCAGACCCCCTCTACCTGGACCCTCCTCCGCAGGCTTTCCGCCTCGTGTTTCACCGCCACCCACTGATATTCCGCTCCGGAATGAGCCTGAAAAGACCCCGAGTGTCAATCTTTGCAGCCCTACGCCCCCTCCCACACACTCCGCCTCCATTCCCGGAAGCCTCCGGAAAGCCTAGCTTTTTTTTCCTTTTTTCTCTTTTTTTTTTCCTTTCCCCCTCTTCTTTCCCAAGTGCTGTCAGTTGAAGGCTTCTCTTGGCTCCCACGGGGTGGTGAAAGCGTGTCTGAGTGCTCGTATGGATGCATGCATGATGCATTTTGTGTTTTCACGGCAAAAAAAAAAACACACTTTTAGTATGCCGGATGCATTTTTTCGCAGTTTCGGTGTCCTGCAGCAACTGCACTGACTCAAATTGAGGACGGGATTGCCTGGCAATATTCCACCTTTTGTAGGTAGTGTTAGAGAGAAAAATAAAATAAAATGCAGGTCGGTGTATATGTGTTTGGGTATTATGCGATGCTGGCGAGTGTGGAGTATACTAACTGAGACTCACTTCTTACTGTATATCCTCTTACGTTGAAAACAGTTGTCACTGTCCGACAACAATTTTATAACTCATCTAAATTGATCAAGTGATGATTATAAGGTACCGCGTATGTGGGTGAAAGAGGCTTGTGGATGTATTTGTCAGAGTTGCAATAGAGATGGGATGGTGTGAAAGATTATTTGACTTCTCCTGCCATGTTGCGTCAAAAGCCTTTGTCTCGACATTGCAGATGTGTGTTTTAAGCGGACTGTACTGATCGTCTGGATCGGATCAGATTATATTTTGCATTTTATGCCGATTTTGTGATCGGTTGTAATGTCATGATTCGCTGAGGTGGCGCAAAATGAGGCATTACGGCTCATGGGTGTCGGTTTTAACTCATGTAAAGCACCTTGAGTTGCCTTATTTATTTAAATTTTTTTAAAATGAAGAGTGCGATCCAATCAAAAAGTAATAACGGCGGTGTTAAGAGTTGTGATTGACTTAAAGTATTAAAAAAAAAACTCTCCAGTATGTATGTTATCAATTGCATTGTAGTTTATCTTTAATTAAGACAATGAACAGTTAGTCGGAGTAATCACTTCAAAATAGCTGTCATCGTGAGGCAGAAGTTGTGCAGAAATATTTGTGCAGTGAATTACCCAACCGAGTTTTTTTTTTCTTTTCTTTTAAACGACAAAGTGACATGCCACTTTCAGAATTTATTTTGAACTGATAAAGACAAATTTGCCGGGATGGAAATGAAGGTGTGGTGGCAGTTTTGCTTTATAATGGCGTGTTTTTACTCATTTCTTGACATTTATTTTTAACCACGCATGGTATAGATAAGCAGAAGAGTTTTGGGGCTGCGATGGATTAATTTGATTTCCATTCATCTCGATGTGAACCATTGCCTCAGTTTACAAACATTTCAAAAAGGCTGACAAAATCAGTTAAATTTGAAATCACAGTTCCATAATATATGCAGTAAATAAACAAATTGAGATACTAACCCATTGTAATCAGTTTATTACGGCGCACAAAACTGGTCGGTGATGAAGAGGAAGGATTGGTGAAGAGCTGAGCGGAAGTAGGTCAGAGCCAACGTCCCTTCTCTCCCGTCTAATCTTCTCCGCTTGCAACACTCTTCCTCCTCCTCCTTCCTCTTCCACTCTTATTGAGGCCAATCTTTCGCTCCTCATCATCTCTTCTTCCCGCTTTCGTCACCTTCCGGAATGCCGATTGGGAATCAAACCCACCACCCAGTCGACTAGTTCTCAGTTGTTATAATTTTTTGTCGTTGCCTTCATTCACAAGTACAAGTGCGACCTACCTGCTCTCGGAAAACCAACTTCTAAATCAAGCTATCACTGCATCTTGTTTTTTATTCAATACGAATATAGTAACACCATCTTAACTCATGACGCTTTGTTATTTCCATGACAACAAATGTGAAAGTCGGACTATCCCGACCTCAACTCGTCCAACGGCTTCTTTATTCTTCTTCCTTAATCCAGCGCAGCTAGCAATCAGTGAATTGGTGTCCATCGGAGGAAATGTGATGCAGGACACACTCAAGCGTGATTCGGCAAAGAGTGTCGTCTTCTCTCTGGTCCGCCGTCGTGTTCGCGCATCAATTAACACTTTCGCACACACGCGCACATGCATTGTCCCGTTTGTGTGTGCGTGTGTGTGTGTGAATGAAGGTAGCAGCTGCGAAAGGTCCACCTTGTGTTACCAGAGCGAAAGAAATGGAAATGATGCGGGGATGGAGCAGAATAACCCTTCTTTTCCATTTCGATGTTCATCTTATCTGGACGGCATCAAAAGAGAGAAGAGCAAAGGCTTTTCTTTCATCTGCTGCGCTTGTGTGTAGTTGTTGTCGTGGCATCCGAGACCGGCGAGCGTGGGAGTTCTTTCTCCCAGTCATTGCAACAAGAACAGTACTGTAGATGAGAGTGGGGGGGGGAACACAGCGACGCATGCACTCACAAATGCAACAATGCCCTTTTCAAATAAAAACAGGTGGATAGGACATGACGGTGTGTACAAGGTGTAGTTGCATACATGATGAGGCATAAAGAAGGTGAAATATGCCGTACAGTATGCGATATGAGTGTCGAGACCGTTAATATGATGCAAGCGTGCTACATTAAAGGTGTGGAAACCATAAATATGATAGATTTGAGGTACACACATGAAATGATGATATAAATAGGCTCTATTAGACTACGGTACATTAATTCGGGTGTCAATGAGGACCACCTGAATTTATATAATGGTTCGAGGCAAATTAGTGACAATAGACTAGACTTGCAGACATTTAGAAATAATGTGGGATGTTGGAAGGGTATGGAACATTACATTTCATGTAAGAAGAAAAGTATGTTCCGAATATTAAAAGGTAGGGTCATAAATTTTGTTCATTTTATGATGTAAATATGTTACATTGGAGGCATATACTGTACATGAAAAATTGTGTAATTAGGGTACATTAAGGGGTAGACAGAAAACACGATGTCACTAAGGTACATCTGGGGTACGTATATTAAATATGATGTCAATATGCTGCCCTACATGTGTATAAAGACATTACATCTAGTTTAACTACATAACATTAGAGAGGGAATTGACATATTTAAGTATGACATTAAAGCGACACGTTAAGGATTACAGAAATATGGTCCGTAATATGGTATTTGATAGGTTAACATTCAATTGGGTGTGTATATATACTTTATGAGAGATTCTTACATGAAATATGAGGCACCATACATGTGCTACCTCGGGGGGCGTCTATAAGATGGCGCCTCTCCCACGACACGTGAAGAAAATCGAGGAGGTGCAAGTGCGTCCGTGAGCGTGGGGGGGAGACGCATTCATTTAAATGTCAAACGCCGGCTGAGTCACGACTAGACGGGTGGAGGCGGTTTGGATGTTGTCGATGCGAAAATGCGGGTCAATGCCAGTCAATGAAGTCACGTGTGCAAGGTCCACCATTTAGTTTTAGACTCCCGTGCCTCAAGCCCTGCTTAGTCTACATCGATTGCTTGTGATCTGGGCTTTTCCTGATTCAACGTGCCAATGCGGGATGGTGGGGGGGGTTGAAGTCGACCCGTAACTCTGCTGCCTCCAGACGTATCAGAGAGCTAACGTAGGTGCCACCCATGTGTTTATCCGAATGTGCCGAGCCGTAACGGTCCTGTGAGTTCTGTCTGAAAATTTTGAAACATTTTGTTGTACAGTCGACCCACGAATAGCGAAACTCTGCATATAATTGATGCCCAACGAAATGAATTGGGTGGGGGGAAAAATATTTTTTAAATTCTTCTAAAAACAATGATAAACATTCAGTGTATATTTCCCACTAACAAATGGGGGCACAATCTTGGGGGGGGAATGCATATATGCAAATCCATGGTTGATAAACCACAAATATGTCGCAATTAGTTGCATCATATTTATTGTTCCGTCCACCTCCCATATCTGTAGCGTACTGATATATTTAATAACCAATACGTACACATATGCACCTCTAATGTACGCTATTTACTCCAGATGTAAAATATACACATCTAATCAACCATTTTTGAGAAATGTGTTGCCTGTAAGCTGCTCATGCCGCATCTTGACCAATGTTTTATACACCTGTATGTAACAATAGCGTTGCTCGTTTCTTGATTGTTCCATCCCGAACAAAAATATGTTGCGGCAAAGCAGGTGTTTTCTGGTCAAATGCACCAGCAGATGTTCGTGCCACCTGCCCGAGTGTCGTGGCCTCAGGGATCTGGAGGGTGGCTGTTGAGGAGGGGGGGGGGGCTCGTCTTCTGTGAGTGGAGGCTAATGAGTGTGGAGGCACAGCATTATATCGGAACAGGAAATGGCAGAAGATGACAAAGTCCTCCTGGATGTGAGCCAGCCACGCCTGGAGCGAAGAAGCCCCGTGGCACGCTACAAGCCACATGGACCTCCCTCAAGGCACGAAGGCCTTGATCTGACTTTGTTCTACTTCTGTCACCTCATTAGCAGGATTCATCATCACAAGCTTTTTTTCACATCGGGATCCCGCAAAATGAACGCCATCTCTCTGTCTTGTTCAGATCGACATTGCAGAAAATGTCCCCCACAATCACATCCGGCGCTTTCCTACTAACAACGCCCTGATCTTTTTCAAGCTATTGTTCATACTCTACTTCACCAATTAGTGTTGCAAAGGCCAACTTCAAAATAAAATTAAACCATCGCATTGATATCCATGTAT